CCAAAAAAATTATAGAGCCTGTAAACGCCGGTTTTAAAAATAGAAAGTGCATATGAAAAAAATGAATCGAACAAAAGAACACACACAGATCTAAATAATGTATACCAAATTTAGGTAATAAAATGTAGGTAGTACAGAAAAAAAAATGAAAAAAGGTGTTTTTGGGCGTGGCACCCAAAATGATTTTCGTTTAATCCTGGCGTCCTTGTTAAGTTTGCCCCGTCCGCCTCCAAAAGCCTGGCTATGCGTATGCCACTGTCCGTGTCCTAGTCCTGTATCTTCTTGGCCCCCCCCCTGTTTTTTGAGGCACGCGCCGCTCGTGCCAACATGAGGGCAGCCTTTCTAAACAGGCCAGGGGCGTAGCCACGGGGGAGGTTTTAGGGGCTGAACCCCCCCCCCCCCCCCCCCCCCTCCCACCCGATCAGAAAATATAAATAAAAAGCACGAAACTAGAAACCTATGTTTTAGCATATACTTTTTTACCCTCAAAATTTTATTCTTTTCATATAAAGCATTGACCTTGAAATTCTACAAAATTTCCGCCTGCGGCGCAATTTTTTTTCTGACATCCCTATGGTCATGCAATGTTTCTTAATTTCAATAGCGAAACCCCCACCCCATCTGAATTTTCTGGCTACGCGCCTAAAACAGGCGTAGGGCGGCAAATTGGTAAATCCGGCACTGAGTACTTCTTTCGTATAGTGCCATAAAGTGTAGTATTCCTCATAGGTAGAGCAGCTTCTTCTATGTAAATTAAATGCTACAAAGTCAATCATTATTGGAATAGCAAATAGCAATAGCATCTACTACTTTGTATGCATTCTTTCCATTGGCCCCATTATATAAAACATTGTAGAATGGAAACGAAACAACCAAAACAACAAAAAAACCTGCCTCTACCCCATTAACTATTTATTTTCAAAATGTGGGAGGTCTACGGACCAAATTAGTGGATTTGTTGAAATCTGTAGCAAGTTGCGCCTATGACATACTAGTTTTGGTTGAAAGTAATTTAAATGATGACTTCAGTGATAGTGAAATTAAATTTGAAGAGTTTTGTGTCTATAGAAGTGATCGTAAATCTTTCACAAGCAAGAAGTTGAGTGGTGGGGGTGTTTTGATATTGATTAAAAAAAGTATTAAATCACTGTGCATCAAAATTGAGGAAAATCGAGTGGAGCAGATTTTTGTTCTGTGCGAGATTAATAAATTCAGGTTTATATTGGGTGGTGTATACATCCCTCCACAATCATCAAGGGATGTTTATGGCTGGCATTGTGAAGCGGTGGAGAATGTTTGGCAGCGGCATTCTGCAGGAAATATCTATATCTTGGGCGATTATAACTTACCTAATGCTGCGTGGACTAATGATGAATTTGGAGTTGTGCAATGCCCTCAGGGCGACCCAGCCCTTCAAGTGGCTCAGGTGTTTGGTTATCTTAGACTTTTCCAAATGAATGGCATTTCAAATGATAGAAATGTATTTTTAGATTTAGTTTTTTCTAATAGTAAGGAGGTTGTTGTCACGCATACCTCTGCGCTGCTTTTAAATGACAGTCATCATCATATTGGGTATGAGTGTGTATTATCGGTGTCCAATACAAAAGAAAGTACCAATTTAACTTATGAAGAATTTTATTACGACGTTAGAAATGCAAACTATAGGGAACTTAATAATTATTTAGCATCTATTAATTGGCAAGAATATTTAAATATAAGCAATGATGTAAATGCCATAATAAATATTTATTATGAGATTTTGGCCACTGGTAAGTATTGCATATTTTGTCCCAGTAAAAAAATTTAAAACTTCTACATTTCCCAAATGGTTTTCTTCTGATCTTAGAAAACTGACTTGCCAGAAAAGACGTGCACACTCTTTTTACATTAGTAACCGCTCAGATGATAATTATGCAAAGTTTTCAGATTTGCGTGTCAAGTGTAAGAGGCTCTCTAATGTTTGTTTCTCTAATTACATGCGGGGTTTTGATGAGAGACTGAAAGTTGATCCAAAATCATTTTGGAAATTTATCAATGATAAGCGTTTCACTTATTGTCTTCCAGGCTCACTCTTTTATAGGGGGGAGAGGGCTTCAAATGGGCAGGATGTAGCCAATTTAATTGGGAAATTTTTTCAGACTGTATATGTAGCTAACCAGAACTCTCCAGTACTACCTGATTTAACATTAAATAATAACGTTAGTAGCAATATTAAGTGCTCAGAAATAAGTAAGTCTGATATTTTCGATCAGATATGCAGTCTTCCCAATAAACTTTCATCAGGGCCGGACGGAGTGCCTGATTTCCTCTTGAAAGAGTGTGTTGGCACTATAGTTTTGCCATTGTATATCCTTTTTAATAGATCCTTGAGTGCTGTGTTCCCGAGTGAATGGAAAAAGAGCTATGTGGTTCCTATTTTTAAAAGTGGTCAAAGAGAAAATATTGGAAATTATCGTAGTGTTTGTATTCCATCCGCAATACCAAAGCTCTTTGACTGTCTTGTTGGCAAGCAACTGAGCTGGATGTGTAAGGTTTAATTTCTGTGGAGCAGCATGGCTTTTGTAAAAATAAATCCACATTGAAAAACTTGGTAGGTTACCAGACAAGCATTTTGCATCATATGGAGGGGCAGAAACAAGTAGACTCTATATATACAGACTTTGCTAAGGCCTTCGATAGGGTGGATCACCGGATACTCTTGCAGAAGTTAACCAAGATTGGTTTTCATTCTCATTTTGTTATGTGGATCCAGAGCTCACTGACTGATCGTATCCAACATGCTAAAGTAGGTTGTTATTTTTCTGAGTCAATCTCTGTTACATCGGGTGTCCCGCAGGGCGGCCACTGTTCTCCTCTTCTCTTTAATATTTTTGTTAATAATATAACTGATTGTTTTATAAACAGTGAGTGTGCAAAATTTGCAGATGATTTGAAATTTTGGAGAACGGTGGAGAGCATTGTGGACCAGTTGCTTCTGCAGGAGGATCTGGATCGCTTGTCCGTGTGGTGTGTGGAAAATAAGTTATCTCTGAATGTGGATAAATGTTGCTATATTAGGTTTTCAAGGAAAGTAAATAGAATTCAAACTAGTTACTTTATTAACAATCAGTCTCTGAAGTGTGTGTCTAAAGTGAAAGCTTTGAGTGTTATTTTAGACGAGAGATTATCTTTTATTGATCACATAAATTCGGTTGCAGTAAGGGCTTCGAAGATGTTGGGTTTCGTCATGAGAAACTGTCAATGCTTCTCTGTGGAGGCTACCAGGGTTGTCTACTGCTCCTTGGTAAGGTCAACATTGGAATATTGCTCTATGGTGTGGTCACCATATTTTCAGATTCATATGGATTCTTTGGAGAGGGTGCAACAAAAATTTCTTAGAGTGTGTGCGTTTAAAAATGGCTTTGCTATGGCTGACCACGACTATAGAGCAATGGAACAACGATTGTCATTGAGTCCTCTGGGCCTTCGTAGAGATAGTTTTGGTGTAGCATTTATATACAAATTAGTACATGGGTTAATTGACTGTCCAAGTCTCCTTTCTTCAGTTAGTTTTAATGTACCCACTAGGGGACTGCGGCAACACCCAACATTTCTCATACCTTTTCACCGAACAACATATGGTGAAAATAATCCTATTGACAGATATATGTCATTAATTAATAACTTAAATATTGATATCGGGTCTTCAAAAAAAAAACCAAGACCCTAGGTTAATTAAAAATGTACCTGAAGAATATGTGATATTTTTTGTTTAACAGGGTCAATTCTGGTTTGTGTATTATTTGTTGTACCTAATTCTATTTTATATGTTTCCATATGTTAACTACTCATTATCAAGATCAAGATATTTTTCATAATACCTACATACTTTTACTAATACCTACTTACTTAAAAGATGATTGTTGGCTGTACTTAATATGTTTTATATTATTGTGTAGTTAACTCTTATGACTAAGACTATGATTATGATTACGACTATGCAAATGTTGTATAAACCAGCCATTAATTTTTGTAGTTAAATAATATTTATTATAGTTATAATATAGTACCTACTTGTGCTTATGGCTGGTTTATACAACATTTGCATAGTCGTAATCATAATCATAGTCTTAGTCTTAATCATAATCACAATTTTAGAAGGCGTTTATACAATGTCATAAGCATAAAATAAAATCAACTTTAACCCGACTTTTTGTAGGGAGAGTTTGTTCACTTTTTGCGAATCGAACTCCTGTATTTACTTTTAATACTTTTTCAAAGTTTCACAAAGTGTGGAAATTAAAATTCTGCAAAGGAAAACCATACAAGTGATAGGTCTGTCCTATTTATTTTTGAGTTTTGCGCCACATTATTCAAAGACATGTGGACGCTTGATGGAGACCAATTTTTTGGATACTCTAGAATGATTCAAGATCAATTTAAATACACACAGATTTAAAATAGCAGATTTGAATTGTTTTTCTCTGTAACAGCTGATAATGGCGCTTGCGCAGTTTGGATCTCGTCTTAGTCACAATCATAAAAGTTAAAAGTTGCCAACTTTGAGTTATGCTTATGCTTATGATTATGATTTGTGTATAAACGGTTCCATAAGAAAATATTATTTTAACTCTTATGACTATGATTATGATTACGACTATGCAAATGTTGTATAAACCAGCCATTATTCTTTATATTTTTTCTTAAATTGTATTTTAACAGTTAATGGGGTTTTCCCGTAAATAAATAAATAAATAGAAGCTGTCCAAGGCCAAATTTACATGTGAAAAATGGTCTAGAAATTGCCAATCTTGGGATTGGGTCACATTATACAATATACAATACATCAAGAGGCAATTTGCTTTTTTGAAGTTAAACTTAATTGTAGGCAAGAGCTTTAAAGCAGTATTTGTTAATAGAGAGACACCGTCTCAGACATCCTTAAACAGGGATTGTGGCTGTCCACTGGCAAATATCACATACTGTACATACATTTCTTAATTTTATTGCGCTGTACTTACATTTCCTTGGCAATTCATGCACATTGATTCAACAATTGTGGCTTCAGGATCTGGATCGTCGGCGTCTAAATTACGAAATAATGGTCTATTTTCGGTCATCTTGGGTTAATTGAATAGATTGTAGACAAATATTATGTTTGATTTGAGAGCAAGCTGTTGATGTTGAAGTAAAATCTAGAATATCACATCACCACAACAAGAAAAAACAAATCTTTTTTTGGAGGTTATGTTCGGTTTGTTAGGAATTCTCTGCTTTTCTTATAAAAATGCCATAAGTAGTCAAAGCCCACCAAAATTTCAGAAAGAAAGAAGAAGAAAACTGGAATGGCAACACTGCTGCAAGCATATACTTTCTAAAGTGAAATCTGACAAGCTTGCCTAGCCAAATCAAGTTGAAGTTGATTTTTCTTGTTTCTTGTTGAACAAACAACCATAAAATGTATAAATATTCGCCTAAATTTTTCAAATTTTCCTAGTATTTTTTGCGTTTTGTGTGCCAAAACTATTGTGCAATGTAGTTTTTGTGCTAGTGAGAAGTGGAGAGTTGAAATTTTCTAGTTTACTTCAAGAAATTCCCTAAAAAATTACCAAGCTGTGGAAAGGTTTGATCTCAATTTTCTTTTTTTAATGACCCTTTGTGGTTTTCACCAACTTTCGTTCTTCAACTTTATTTAGTTTATAAATCTTCTCTCAACTGTATATAATATCAACACATTTTCCATGGTATAAAATCTTTTCTCCTTGGGACAAGTCAAAATGGTAAGTAAATTAACACACCCCGTTGCCCTTTAAGCATAACAAAATTGCATTTTGTAGCAAGCTGATGACCCTCCGTACCTATCGGTCGGTACGGCCGTCAGTGCAAAATACAAGGGGGCTTTTTGTGAAGCTAAAGTCAGCAAAGTAGATCGAGTTGTAAAATGCAAAGTAAGTCACTGCAATCCAACCCCCACGTATTCACCCAATACTTCATGTTTTGCTTTACTTGTAGGTGACGTTTAAAAGTGGACTAGGAGCTACCACAGTATCAGATAACGAGATAAAAGGCACCCTGAGGGTGGGTCAGCAAGTGCAAGTTAAACATCCAGATCATAAGGAGTTGCTGGAAGCTACCATAACCAAAATACAGGATTGTAGTCAGTATACTGTTGGTAAGTGGTATTTTTTGTCTTACATATTTGAAATTTGTGAGACTCCTCATACATTTTATTTTATTCGATTCACATGGATTTTGACTTTGGCTTTTGATATGGCTGGGGCATAAAACGATAACTTGAAAGTACGAACATAACAAGGTCTGAAGACTAATTCTCAATGCAGCTTAAAAGTTTTCCCAACTCTGGTAGAAAATTCTCCCTACTGTGGAGTTGTGTCTCCTGGGGTCTCTAGTCTGTGTTCCAAGGCATACTATATTAAATCTATTGAATTCGTGCGGACATGTTATTAATTCGCTCCCGTTTAAATTGTTTTTTTTCTGATATTCATAAAGAACAGTATAGTCGTGATTGGTATAACCTGAATTAGTGTCTTAATTTCTCCATTACTGCGCTAGTGGGGTTCTTCTGCGTTAGTGCGTAAGCCCCTATTTTTCCAAAGACCCTAGTGCTGTGGCTGGGACTGCAAAAAGTTATCTGCAAATTTGTTTTTTTATTTCGTTTTTATTTGTTTATTCTACAGTTTATTGCTCACCTGCCTTATCAGTAAACAACATTCAAGTATTTGGCCTTTACATTCCATTCTGGGAACAAGAACAACTGTTCACAGAATCGTAAACATAAATAATTTTTAAAATGTTTAGCACTCAACTTAAGGGCCGTTCATGAGTTATGCTAAATTAAAATGGAATGTACATTTTGCAATGAAGAATGCTTTAATAGAAGAAGATCACAGATTAAGGATGGCGAAATATTCGGAGCATGTTGCGATTTTTGTAGAAAGGCATTCTGCAAGAATTGTTCAGGAATGACAGTCACTGAAAATGATTGTCTTGTTCTGGGACAGAGACAATTAATATACTGTTGCAAAGACTGTAAAACGCAAATCTTTGATTTTAATGAAGAGCTTGTGCACCTCAGAAAAGTACACAAAAAATGCTTAGAGGAGATAAAAGGAAAAGACAACCTAATAGAAGAATGTCAAAATGAATACATCAACTTGGAGACAGACTTCACTAAGTTGAAGACAGAGATGGTAGACAAAAACAATTATATTATCAGACTTCAAAGAGGGTCTACGAGCTTTGAGGAGATGACCTATGACAGAGATGAAGAAATGCAAAGGAAAATTCAACACCAAATAAGCACAATAGAAAGACTAAATAAAGAAATTAAGAAATTGAATGAAGAAATTATAGAATGTCAAGAGGAGAGGGAGAAATTGGCAAAGGGTATCAAGAAGCTGGACCATGATTTGGCTGAAACTAGGACAACAAATTTAAAGTTGGAACCTCGGTTGGAACTTGAAAGTAGGAGAATAAATACGGAGACTCAAGAGTTGACGAGCAAACTAAAGGAAAGCAAATTACTATGCTTCGGGCTCAAAAATAATTTGCAGGCTGAAAAGGATATCACACAAGAACTAAAGAGTGATATTGTGGCATTGACAAAAAAACTCGAAGAAAAATTAAACTCCAGCCTACTTACAGAACTCTCGTACCTTGAAACCATGGAATTAAAAGCAGAAAATGATAAACTAATGGAAAAAGCAAACAGACAAAAGAATACAATTGATCATTTGGAAGGGGAAATAAATGAAATGGAGGATGTAAGAAAACAGATGATTGTTAGCATAGAGTTGTTGGAGGAGGAGAACAAGCTCTATGCTAATGACACTAAAAAACTTGGTAATGAACTGTTCCAAATCAAACAGCAGAATCATAAAAGAGAAACACCTAATAATAATAATAATAACAATATAAGTGTGTCTATTCAAGTAAATAACATACAGCAAGTTAACCAGAATCAACAAAAACAGGAAATTAAACAGCATAATGGACAAAAACAACAAGAACAGATAAATAATAAGCATACTGTTCTGATTATTGGTGATAGCTCCATAGCTGACGTCAATAAAATTCTTGATAGATACAAAGATCTAAACAAATTTAGGATTATCTCGATTGTGAAACATAATGCGCGATTGGAAGACATTACCAAAGATATCTGCAATCTGACCAAGGATTTTAACAAGTATGATGTAGTGATACTCAGTGGAGGTATGAGGAATGCAGTCACGGATGGAAAGGTTGGTGACGTAGTATTGAATCGTTTGTATGACGTATGCGTAAGAACGAATCTCATAGTTTTATCGGTGCCTCTCTGGAGAAATCGCATAATATTGAACCAATTCATCAACAAAATAAACATAAGTTTATTTCAATTTGTAAGAGACCAAGGAAATACAAATAGATTTATTAATTTAAACTTTTTCTTAAGCTGATCCTTCTTTGGCCATTCAAGTACTTAATGCTCCCAAATTCTTTGCAAAAATAAAAATATGTGAAAAGATTTCTCGGGCAATAATCCAAATCAACAATTTTTTATTATAAAGAATCTCGGCGAAAATGTTATTAAACGAAGTAGTATAAAAGTTAAAGCCAATTTTTCTATCTTTTTGCTCAACACTCGATCAGCGAGAGAAAAGGCAGATGAACTATCTGTTCTGCTGAGTGATCTGAATATGCCATCTTTCGTTCTTCTCACTGAACATTGGCTAAAGGAGGATGAACTGTACTATCTACCCGAGTACAGTATTATCTCAAAGTTCTGTAGAGCCGAAGGCTATGGAAGCACCATTATATTAGCACATGATAGTTTACTAGAAAGGTACAATGTAGAAAATATCGATAAACATGGAATCATTCTTCAAGAAAATAAATTTGAATTTAGTATAGTTTATGTTAAGGAACTTGATGTTTGGATTGTTTGTGTGTATAGGCCTCCATCAGGTAATCCCCTAGAATTTTTAAGGTCATTGGAAACTCTCCTTTCGAAATTTCCGATAACTGCAAAAATTATATTAGCAGGCGATCTAAATATTGACTTTGATAGTAAGGACTCCAGAGATACGAAATCTTTAATAAACTTATTAACATGTTTTAATCTTCACACTTTTGTGAATGAACCGACACGTATTACTAACCACTCAGAGACAACAATCGATTATATCTGCAGTAACATCGACGAGGGTGATATTATTTGTAGAGTAATTCCATCAGGTCTTTCTGATCATGAGGCTCTATTTTCAGAAGTGGTGCTACACCATGATGAGCAAAAAAAGGTGACAAGGGAGTCTCGAATCTTTAGTACAGCAAATTATAGGACTTTTCGAAACGAGGCGGCAACAATTAACTGGGGCAACATTAAAGATTCGGCAAATCCAATTACTACATTTCAAGAAACAGTTCGAAATATTTTTAGCCGAAGCTTTCCAAAGCGAAAAATTAAAAAAAAAGAAAAGAAAGGTGTGGGTGACAAGAGGTATTAAAGTATCAGGTAAAAATCTTCGCTCTTTGTACACAATAAAAAAAATGTATAAACTCTGACTGGTTTCATTCATACTTTACTGCATATCGCAAAATTTATAGAAGTCTAATACGACTAGCAAAAAAATATTATTACAATTACTGACTACGCTATCGAAAATTATAGAAAAGATAGTGAAAGTGAGACTGGTGAGTTACTTAAAGGCCCATAATGTTCTGACACCGGATCAGTTCGGATTTCAGGAATCAAAGGGGTGCAATGATGCCATATTTACGTTTCTGGAGAGACTCTTTTTTGCTCTCAATGATGGTGACAAAGCTGCGGCAGTGTTTTGTGACTTTTCAAAAGCTTTTGACTGTGTTAATCACGAAATACTGCTGCGGAAAATGAGCCACTACGGAGTCAGGGGAACGGAGTTGAGCTGGTTTAGAGCATACCTTTCGGATAGATCCCAGCTAATAAGAATTCATGGTAAGGATAATTCAAAGACGCTTAATTTAACCCATGGGGTTCCTCAAGGGTCAGTTCTTGGGCCGGTTCTCTTTTTAATTTACATTAACGACCTGGCAGCACTGTCAATTCTGGGAGCTTTTGTAATTTTTGCAGACGATACAACCATACTTTGGCAACACAAAGACGTGACAATTCTTAACACGATTATTGAAAAAGACTTGGAAAAAATTAAGGGGTGGTGTGACGTAAATCGCTTGGTTTTCAACATATCTAAAACAAATATACTATCATTCAAATGCACTCTTAATGAAATCACACTTGACCAGAAGCTGGTAGAAGATAGAACTGTTGTAAAATTTCTTGGTATGCACATAGATTCGAGACTCAAATTTGACACTCATATTGATACCCTTAATAAAAAACTCTCACAGGGCTGTTATATAGTGAAAAGCATTCTTCATGAACTGGGAAAGCACACAGCCAAAATAGCGTATCATGCACTCACATCAGATACGGCATAGCATTCTGGGGTTTTTCGACACAGGCAGCTGTTGAATCAGTGTTTATCTGTCAGAAACGAGCTCTGCGTTATTTGTGTAGAGTAAATCGTCGGGAAAGCTGTAGGCCTCTTTTCAAGCAGGAGCAGATACTGACTATTCCCTGTATTTTCATCTTGGAAGTGGCCAGTTTAATATTCAAAAAATTTCAAGAATATTCTAGACCAGAAATTTACAACTTGAGAAACTACAATTTGCCATTGCCAATCCCAAAGCTAAGCCTGACCAAGCACTCAATTATATATGAAGGTATAAAAATATTCAATAATCTTCCTCAGGAAACAAGGAATATTAGAGAGTACAGAGCATTTCGTACTAGTGTGAAAAATTTCCTGATAACAAAAACATTTTACAGCCTTCTAGAATATTACGGCCAAATTTAGTGTGGCTATTTACCGCGTGTTTTTAATTGTGGGTAGGTACTTTTCAAAAACCTAATTGTTTTTGGTTGTTTTATTTATTGATTTTGTTCTGTTTTGTTTATTTTTTGAGACATTTTTTTAGTTTTTTCGTATTATATTACTCTGCTGCTTTCAGCTTTGACCTTTTTAACCTTTTTAACTTTTTAAACTTTTTATTTTTTCTATTTTATTGCAATAGTTACTAAGCCCTAATATATCTTTTAGTGAATTATTTGTTTTTATATTGAAATCGTCA